CCAGGGCTATTAAATTTATTTATTTTTATTTTTTAATAATTTTTTATTGATTTCGGAGAGGAAAGGAGGGAGAGAGAGATAGAAACATCAATGATGAGAGAGAATTATTGATTGGCTGCCTCCTGCATGCCCCCATGGGGGATCAAGCCCGAAACCTGGGCGTGTGCCCTGACCAAGAATCCAACTGTGACCTCCTGGTTCATAGTTCGATGCTCAACGGTTGAGCCATGCTGGTCAGGCTATTAAATTTATTTGATGTCCACAACAGCACAACAACCCTACCAGGTGGCACTAATATTACTGGCATTTTAGAAATAAGGAAACAGATAAGGACTGTACGTCAGTACCCAGTTCCCAAAGACCAGAGACCAGAGGTAACCACTCATAAGTTTATTGCAGATCTTTCCAAATATTTTTTTGTAAAAAATAGAAATATGTGTGTGTAAACAAAGAAATATAAATATGTGTATATATACAATTATATATACTCTAGGGCAGTGGGCGGCAAACTCATTAGTCAACAGAGCCAAATATCAACAGTACAACGATTGAAATTTCTTTTGAGAGCCAAATATTTTAAACTTAAACTATATAGGTAGGTACATTGTTATTAACTTAATTAGGGTACTCCTAAGGCTTAGGAAGAGCCACATTCAAGGGCCAAAGAGCCGCATGTGGCTCGCGAGCCACAGTTTGCCGACCACTGCACTAGGGGCCCAGTGCACGAATTCATGAACCTTGAAAGGAACTGTGGGCTGCGAGGCTGCGGTGGGCACAGGGGCAGGTCTCGGCCCATCCTCCGTGCCCCTGGTCCCCTGTCTGCCAGCAGCCCCACTCCCGCTGCCGCTGCTCCCATGCGCTGACAGTGCAGGCCCACACCCGCTGACAGTGCAGAGCGATTGGGGCCAGCGCCATCAGCAGGTGTGAGTGGAGGCTGCTGTCCTGATCACCCTCAGGAGCAGGGGGAGGTGGAGAAGCCCTCAGGGGCAATCGGGCGGGTAGCTGCCACTCGCACCTGCTGATGGTGCCAAGCAATCAGGACTGGCGCCAGGCACCAGCAGCGGGTGCAAGAGGTGGCTCTGATGCCGGCAGTGGATGCAAGCAGGGTGGGACTACAGCATGTGGGACAAAGAATTTTCAGTAACCACCAGAGGTTTGCCCCGATGACAGCGACCAGCCTTGGTCTGGCACCCCCGCTCACCTGCTCCACCATCCCTCAGCAGCCAATGCCTGCCATGTTCCATGCTCTGATGTCTGCTGCTGACGCCTGCCATGTTCCGCATGCACCCCCTGGTGGTCAGCGCACGTCATAGCAACTGTTTGTTTGGTTGTTCCACTGTACGGTCTATTTGCATATCAAGGTTCTATATATAGACTAGAGGCCTGGTGCACAAAATTCGTGCACTGGGCGGGAGGGGGGGTCCCTCAGCCCAGCCTGTGCCCTCTCACAGTCCAGGACCCCTTGCTCCTTACAGCCCACCTGCATGCTGCTCCTTACTGCTAGGCTTGCTGCTCCTTAGTGCTGCCACCTCTGCGCTCGCCAGCTGTGAGCCCTGCTTCTGGCTGAGCAGCGCTCCCCCTGTAGGAGCTCACTAACAACCAGGGGGCAGCTCCTGTGTTGAGCATCTGCCCCGTGGTGGTCAGTGCACATCATAGCGACTGGTCATTCTTTTTGTTTTTTTAACGGAAGGGCTTGACCACAGGTGCCCTGGCAGCGTCAGACGATCCCTCAGAATGGGGCCAGACCAATCCCTAGGGGCAGGTCCCTGGGCCAAGTGTCCTGGAGCTCAGGCAGCCACAGTGGGCTTTTTTTTTTTTTTAATATATTTTATTGATTTCTTTTTTTTTTTTTTTTTTTTTTTTTTTTTTTGCAACTGGTCATTCTTGTCTTTCTGCCATAATAGTCGCTTAGGCTTTTATTATAGAGATAGTAGGTTTCATTGTTTGTTTTAGAACAAGGAGATCATATTATATGTATCACATAATTCAATTTGTCTTTTTCATGTACTCTATGAAGAATTTTCTACATAGATTATACAGAGCTATCTTATTCAAGGCATATATTGTATTGCCTTGTGTGGGGTGTGCCATCACTTATTTAACTGTTCTGCCTTTGCCCAGCTAGGTGGTTTCATTTCTTTGCTATTTCATTTAATGCTGCCACAGACTTCATTGTACATATATCAGGCTTTCTCGAGCCAGAACTTCTTTGGGATGGATTCCCAGCAGTGAAATTGCTCTGTCAACGGATATGCGATTTTTGATTTTGATAGATACTGCACATGTCTCCGTTCTTGTTTCTCTCCTGTCCTCTCGGCTGCTTGTTCTTTCCTGGGCATAAGGAATGCGATTCTCTCAAACCTGTCACGCTGGTGTCTTGAGTGAGGCAGGTGAGAGCTGCCCCCTCTGTTCCCAACGGGGTGCAGAGCAGGTGACGGTCAGCACTCCGCCCTCACCCCTCTGACTGGCACGAAGAATCGCTTGCTGGTGTTCTCTATGAGTCACCTCATGTTCACAAATGTGGCCAGGAAAGGGCCACCTTGGAGCCATCTCCTCGATGGAAAAGGGTAGAAAAGGCAAGGACGAGGCAGCAATGACCCCAGAAAGGGGTCGGGGGCAGGTGCCAGGGAGCAGTCAGCTCCTTCACTTCTGCTTGCCCAGCGGGCATCAGAGTTCACTGACTGTCCCCACAGAGAGAAGGTGTGTAACCGATTGAAAAGCATCATCGCGTTCGTGTTCAGGCCCCTTGGAGGCCACAGATAGGTACTGAACAAAGACCCATCTTCACGGATATTGGAACTAGTACAGATGGTAGGCGTTCTCTCTACACGACTCTATTTGAGATGAACGTGTAAAGGGACTTGCCCAAAAGCAATGGGATTAGTGCTTACCTCAGGGGTCCTCAAACTTTTTAAACAGGGGGCCAGTTCACTGTCCCTCAGACCGTTGGAGGGCCGGACTATAGTTTAAAAAAAAAAAACTATGAACAAATTCCTATGCACACTGCACATATCTTATTTTGAATTAAAAAAACAAAACGGGAACAAATACAATATTTGTATTTGCATGTGGCCCGCGGGCCGTAGTTTGAGGACCCCTGGCTTACCTCCTCGGACATGTAGTGAATATCTGAGTGGATGAGCTAACTTGTCCTCTTGTTCACCGTTGTTAATACCAATATATATCGAAGGTTCATTTCGCCCTGGGATAAATAGAAATGAAAAGTGCAGAGAGAAAAAGTCACTTGTAGCGGGAGACACTTGGAAAGCTTAATGAGAAATGTGGCACGTGAGTGTGGTCTGGGGGGCGGGGAGGGTCTCAGCGACTCGCAGTCGGGGGAGGGGAGCGAGCATCTCCTGAGAAAGCAGGACAGAGGCTGGTGCAGGAAAGGGCGGCGCTTGGAGGCACCTTTCACCTGAACGCCCACTGCTGAGAGCAGGACTATAGGGAGTCTGAGGTGCAAGGGGAAGGTTCCCTCGCTTTTTCAGAGCCCCCAGGATTGGGGGGAGCTCTCAGGATTTGGGGGAGTGCTCCTATGATTTGGGGGGTGCTCCTAGGATTTGGGGATGCTCCTAGGATTTGAGGGGTGCACCTAGGATTTGGGGGTGCTCCCAGGAGTTTGGGGGGTGCTCCCAGGAATTTGGGGTGAATGATGCTCAGCACTCTTGTTCTAAATATGCTGTTACTTCTGAGGAATTTTTCAGTGTTTTCTTTTGCTAGAAGAAAAAAAATGAGTGTGAGAGCAAAATGAATTGCTTTCTATGATTGTTTTAATTTTCACTTTTCTCTATTTAAAAAGGGAAAGTTCAGGGAAGTAAGAAAATGTCAAATTTCAGGAGGGCGCAGAATATTTCTGAGGAGATTCTTTTTTTATTTTTTAACACTTTTTTAAATTGATTGTTAAAGATAGAGAGGAAGTGAGAGGGAGAAACATCAATGTGAACAAGAATCATTGATCTGCTGCCTCCTGCACGTTCCCTACCAGGGATGGAGCCCACAACCTGGCCATGTGCCCTGACTGGGAATCGAACCTGCAACCTTATGGTGCACAGTCGACACCCAACCAACTGAGCCATGCCAGCCAGGGCTGTGGGGGAGACTCTAGCTCTCAACAGGCTATTTAGCAAATCTGACCCAAAGGCAGCCTGTCCCGGGCGAGCTGTGGAGTTGGCGTTGGATTGAACGAACTGGAGCAAAAAGACACGTTTGCAATGTCATCGAGGCGAGCTCGGCCCTCCTGTCGGGTCCCGAGGAGGACCCGTTGGGCCTGTTACGGGTAGATGGGCACGTTTTAGAGAAGAAGTTCACTGGCAATGAAATTACTTAACGTGGACCAAATGTATTTCACACACACCCAGTCCTTCCCATGAAAGATGGCTCCTGATTCTGCATGTATGTCCCCGTCCCTGTATGTACCTCCCACGTGGACAAGTGTGACCTGGCAGACGGCACGTGTCCTGGTCGCCTGGCACCGAATTGTCGCCGAGAACGCGGTTGCGTGTTGCAGACCCAGCCTCTCAGGTGGAGGGAACCCTGTAGCTCAGTCCTGAGAGGGGGCGGGGCACGGGGGGAGTCACGGTGCCTTAGGGATGGTCTGCTGTGGCCACAGAGTTTGCCAGCTGCTTGCTGTCCAGTCCCCCTAAGGGACGCCCAGCCCGTCCTGAGGCCTCCATGTGACACAGGGGCAGGCCTTTCATGTGTCAAAGCAAGTATCATGGATGACGACTAGCTAACCAGCAGCGTTTCAAGTTTAATGAACACATTCCCCAAAAGATAACACGAAGCCTCCTAGAGTTCACAAATCTCAAAGGGAACAGCCTATAAAACAAGGGCCACACAAGGGTAACTCTAGGGCTACAAGATGCAAAACAGGATGGTGACAAATGTCATGAAATGGGCATAAGTCAGACTTTGAGCGAACATTGCAACAGGTAAATGGTTCATGGTCTGTGGGCGTTCCGGTCTTCACGCCTCACCTGGATCGATAGCCCTCATCTTCTATGAGCAACAGGTGAGTTTAGCAAGGATTCTATTGACTAGAACTAACTGTAAAACACAGAGATGTAGAAATCTGAGGCTGAGCAAGGAGCATATACAGGGCAGATCTTTTACACGTGAGATTGCGGGCTGGTCGTTTTCTGCTCCTTTTCCTCCACAGTCCCATTTACAGGAACTTCTTGCTCTGGGACTGGGACCCTCCTTAGCCAAAGCCACTGCCCAGGGCTTTCCCGTGTGTGTGTGTGTGTGTGTGTGTGTGTGTGTGTGTGTGTGAGTCCTGTGCCCCCAGGTGCGGAGACGCCCCTCCAGATGAGGAGGCCGCTGGCGCGGAGCCCGTGGGCCCGTCCTGTCTCAGGGCCTGGCTCCGCCACGGGGCAGCTCGGGGTCACCCACCTTCCCCGGGAAGCACCGCCCGGCATCTCCCGTGGGTGCGTGTGGCCGGGTGCGTGTTCCCCTGACGGCCGTGCCTTCCTCCAGGTGCGGCTACATGATCGACAACGTGATTCTGCTGGTGAGCGGCGCGCTGCAGAAGAAGTCCGTGCGGGACCTGCTGGGGCGGTGCCACCCGCTGGGCCGCTTCTCGGAGATGGAGGCCGTCAACATCGCGGACACGCCGTCCGACCTCTTCCACGCGGTCCTGGTGGAGACGCCCTTGGGTACGAACATGGGGCGGCGCTCGCTGCCTGTGTGGTCACTGCCATTGGGAAGTGTACCCCCATGTCACCGTGTCCCCGTGAGCACAGCACCAGTGAAGAGGGTGCTGGGAGTGGGGGGGCCTGAGGAGCCGTCCGGCCCAGCCCTCCTTCCTCAGCCAGACAGGACGCCCTGCGGTCACCTAGCCGGGAGGGAGCGGCTCAGCTCCAGCGCCACCCGCTGTGCCGACCCGGCAAGCACCACAGGCCTTGTGGCTGGTGGAGCCCTCCCCTCCGAGGTGCAGTTTAGAATCAGCGCCTCTCCTTCCCTGTAGTCGCCGGTCCGCACCGGCTTCCGGAGGGCGCGGGTGTCGGGCGCCCAGGAGTCTGTCAGCCCTGACGGCGCGGAGATGCCACCGGCGCTGCCCACGCGTTGTTGTGAGGAGGTCTGCACAGGAGCGATGCTCTGCTGATCATTTGGCAAAATACTCGCCATTTTGGACAAAAGTTTTAGAGAAAAATACATGTGTCATCAAGTGCCCGGTGCTGCGGTGCAGGTCCCAGGAGGGAGGGGTCTGGCACGGACGCGGCTCAGCCTGTCCCACCAGGCACGTGGGCAGCTCGGTCCCCTCCGCCCCACTGCAGAGCTCTGAACGCGAAATAAGACGTAAATAAGTACAACTCCGTGCTCGGCACAAAGTAAGGGCACGGAAGGTAAGTGTTGCCACTGGGTGGCGGGAGACGGCGGACGTGAGCCTGGACGTGGGCGCGGCCCACGCTGGGCACCCGCTGGGTCAGTGAGCCGCGTGCTGCGCCCACACAGCCGTGAGTGCTTAAGGAGCGGTCCGGGGGTGCCGCGTGGCGGTCCTGCGGGTGGAAACCCCCATGTCCTCCTCGTGAGCAAGGCAGTGCGTTCAGGAGACTCTCCGCTTGCAGTCCTGCTTTTCACTGACTCACCTGTGATGACTTCTGTTCCAGCGCCGTTCTTCCAAGACTGCATGTCTGAGAACACACTCGATGAGCTGAACATTGAAGTTCTGCGCAATAAGCTGTACAAGGTAACTGCTGTCTTTACTGCACACGCCGTCCTAGCCAGGGCTCTTGTCAGACCAATGCCCCTCCCCCCACCCCCCGCCCCCCATGCACGGCGAGGCGAGGCGAGGCCTGTTGGAGCATGTGTGTCCGCTCCCCGGGCAGGAGGTGGCTGAGAGGAGGTCACAGCCCATGCTCTGGGTCCCCAGGCCTGGCTGGAGCGTCAAGGTGGCGATGGCAGGTGGACAGGAAGCAGCCGGCATTTACAGGGTGCCTTGTTAGGCAGAGCTCACCTCTGTCCTCCATTCTCTGAGAGTCCCTGGATGCTGGCTAACCTGTCCCACAATTGTCATCCACTGACAGTGGGCAGCGTACCGAGATGACCAGCTGGCGGGGCGTCCTAGGTGCCACTCGCATAATCTGGCCACGGACTGACTGAACAGTGCCACCCCCGTCCCGGCCTCTGTGTAACAGGCGCTGAGTAAGCTCTGTCCTTGCACTTGGACGACCACAGCGCCTTCGGACATTCTCCCAGAGCAGCTGAATGAACGTGGGCGCCACCCTCTGTGCAGCACGCCCTGCTGCAGCGCAGGGTCCTCCCCGAAGCACTGCATTGCAGGCATCGTCCTGGTTATGAATATGGGCTACCGGAGGCTCCCTGACACAGCCAGCGGAAGGCCCTGTCCAAGCAATGCAGAGGCGCTAACCCACTCTACCCAGCAAACAGTGTGGCTCCTCTCCTCAGACGAAACCAGGGGGCGTGGGGTGAGGCGACCAGACCAGGGGGCGTGGGGTGAGGCGACCAGACCAGGGGGCGTGGGGTGAGGGGAGGAGACCAGGGGGCGTGGGGTGAGGCTATGTGGCGAAGCAGTTCCCTAGTGAGTGCAGTGTGGGCTCCGGCCCAGGCGGCGGTGACTGCAGCCAGGCCTGCCTTCCACCCCGTGCTCAGAGCCCCCCGTGCACCTCCTGAGAACAGAAAGGTCAGCACAGGACCAGAGCGGGAGTCTTTACTGAGCTGTGAAAGGGCTTGGCACTCTTGGTAGAGGAGCCAGAACAGCCAAGTGAGGTCACCCGAGATCCACGCAGAAAAGCGATGGTAAGTGGTTTCGAGGCGAGATAAGCACAGCTGTGTTCTTTCATGGAGGTCCTTCTTCAGCCTGTGCCACGGGCGTTAGTGTGAACACTTCCCCCATGTACTCTCTCCCCTGGGAGAAGTGGTTCAACTCCATGAAAGCGCTGAATACGCCATGAACAGCAGATCTAGACACGTCCACAAGGAGCAGATGGTCACCCTGTTGCTTTATGGTCTCTTCTTTTCCAGTCTTACCTGGAGGCGTTCTATAACTTCTGTAAGGATCATGGTGACGTCACAGCAGAAGTCATGTGCCCCATTCTCGAGGTGAGAAAGCGTCCATGACGCGTTCATGCCAAACATGTGCTTCCACGTGTTTCATTGCTGTCATCGGACTGATGCTGCTGTATCGCAGAAGCTCCTTTATCTAAAGTGAAGCGAGCAATGCGTTTTGCTCTCTGTATGTCATTTGATGTCTTCCGTTAACAGTGGTATTTTCTGGCCCTGGCTGGGTGGCTACGTTGGTTGCAGGTTCGATTCCAGGTCAGGGCACATACCTAGATCGAGGGTTCTTTCCTTGGTTGGACATATAAGGAAGGCAACAGATCTCTCTCTCTCTCTCTCTCTCTCTCATCAGTAAAAACATATCCTTGGGTGAGGATTCAAAAAAAAGAGTGATTTTCCAAGTTTCCTACATTGAAGAGTTGTTTTAGATTTAGAAAATAACACATAACAATGTGATCGTGCTTGCTGTATAATATGAAGAAAGGTCATAATTAGTGAGAAATTAGTAAGCTATGGCAATTACACGCTATAGGAATCAGAAGGACCCCCAGCTTCCCCCCAGTGAGGGGACATGGTCCCTGTAGAAGCCCTCCCCTAAAGGCCGCGCGTGCACCCAGCGCGGGGGGAGGGACTGGGGAGGGCTCAGCGTTGGCTTCTGCTTCTCTGACAGGAGCTATTATACGTCTTAACTCCCTTTGTCGTCAAAGGGGAACCTCATCTGTGCCCGAGGCCCTTTGTTTCAAACATCACTGCTCGGAAAGCCAGGCATTGAGGGCCTCGGGCATCTGGGCACAGTTGGCGTTCAACGCAGCCTCTGGCTGGCTTCCTCAGGCACTTGGACTTAAAAATTAATGTATAATTTAAATAAATATATAACTTAAAATAAATATGTAACTTAATTTTTATTGATTGGAGAGAGAGAGAGAGGAGAGTAACATCGATTAATTGTCCCACTTATCTATGTGTTCATTGGTTGACTCTTGCATGAGCCCTGAGTGTGGATCGAACCCGCAACCTTGGCGTATCAAGACAACGCTCCAACCAACTGCGCACCAGCCAGGGCAGGATAGAATTTAATTTTAAGTTATACTAGTCTATTCTTGGTTTAGAAAAGCCCTGTGAAAACAATTTTTATCCAAAGACTACCTTTCATCATTAGGTGATCTCTTGCTCTGACTTCATTGGTGGGCAGATCCTTGCATATGGATCGATGACTTCTGAATTCAAGAGAAACCTGAGGAGAACTACCCTTTAGGCAAAAGGGCGGGGGTGCGGCACCTGAATACCTTCACCTGCACGTGGTGTAGCGCACGGTACTGACGGCACCTGAATACCTTCACCTGCACGTGGTGTAGCGCAGGGTCCTGGCGGCACCTGGCGGCATTAGTTCCCCTAAAGCAGCTCATCCCCCCAGGGTCACAGCTAGAGACACTGCCGTTCCTGTGGGAACGGAAAGTGAGCAGCCTGAGAGGTGTGTCACTGGCCACTCCAACGGGTCTTTTTCCTCGTCTGTTCCACCCAGAGCGTGGGGCTCGATGAGTAAGGAGCTTTTTAAGGGGCACACAACGTCAGGAAGTGCGCGTCTCTCCGGACTTCTGGTCACATCACACACATCGGCAGCCTGGTGACCCGATGGAGCGCTGTCCCTTCTTCTCATGAATTTAATTACGAGCCGCGCTCGAAGCAGCCACATTATCCAGGGCTCAAACACAGTGTCCGCATTCCTAATTCCCATGGCTTAGAAATGGTTCTTACACTTTACACCAGGGGTCCTCAAACTACGGCCCGCGGGCCACATGCAAATACAAATATTGTATTTGTTCCCGTTTTGTTTTTTTACTTCAAAATAAGATATGTGCAGTGTGCATAGGAATTTGTTCATAGTTGTTTTTTAAACTATATAGTCCGGACCTCCAACGGTCTGAGGGACAGTGAACTGGCCCCCTGTTTAAAAAGTTTGAGGACACCTGCTTTACACCAACAAAAGTGGAATTGGAGTCACGTTGAAACAAAAGGTATACAGCAGCACTGGGACCAGCCAACACTCAGTACGTGCCAGACACTGTCCTAAACGTCACATACATGGATTCCCTTGGACTTCAACATAGCACAGAGATGAGTAGTTTAGCATCTATTTTTCAAGACGGGTAATTGAGGCACAGAGGCCTGATGTCACAGTTAGTGGAGGCCAGGATGGGAACTCAGGCATCCTGGCCCCCGGCTCCAGTTCCTACATGTTCATCCGCCTCTGCATTAAGTGCACAATCCTTCCCCACAGGAAGGCTGAGCTATAAGCAGGATCACGGCGCGTGGGCTGCAGGGCCCCAGAACCCCACGAGAATGGTCTCTGGGCAAGGACCGCGTAGGCCTGAACACAGGCTGTCACTGGGCCGGTGGGACCGGCTGCTGAGTCCCAGGTTCTCACAGCCACTTCCTGTCCCTTAACCTACCACGCTAGGTTAGGTTTTTCTCAAGCTGCGATAAAAACAAAAATCCATTTAACCGTCTTCATACATTTATGTAGAAACATCAGTTACATGTGGCATGCAATTCTAATGTTTTTTAAAATATATTTTTATTGATTTCAGAGAGGAAGGGAGAGGGAGAGAGAGATAGAAACATCAATGATGAGAGAGAATCATTGATCGGCTGCCTCCTGCACGCCCCACACTGGGGCTCGAGCCCCAACCCAGGCACGTGCCCTGACCCAGAATCAAACCGTGACCTCCTGATTCCTAGGTCGACACTCATCCACTGAGCCACACCAGCTGGGCTGATTATAATGTTTCTTGATGTGACCAGATTTGTCAGGTTTATAGCAGCATTAGATCACGTAACCTCCCCTTTATCTGTGTAGTTTATGAAGTTCTCACGCACGTGGTCTCGTGCTCTCTCGTGTGACAGGACAGACTCACAGGTGGAGGGTGTTACCTGGGCTTGCATGCGAACATTTGACTGAATTTCAAGACTGTGACTTCATATAAAAAGTTAGCTTGTGTCCAGGGCACC